TCTCTCTCTCCCCCTGTGTGTGTGTGTGCAGGCCCCTGTGAATTCCTTTGAGTTTCAGCCTTGCGACCATACTTCCCAGGCGGAGTGCTTCCGTTCTCTCTATCACATAAGAGTGCTCTGTGTGTCTCTCTCTCTCCCACCCTCTTTGTGGCTGTCTGTCTGTGAGTAAGTGAGTATGTGAGTGATGGAGCATAAGTGCGACGTTTTGCTCAGTTCCTTGTGGGAAGTAGCCAAGCGGCCAGCTTGAAGTTGGAAAAGACCCTACCCCTACAAGCAAACCTAAAGGGATCCTGCAGAACAGAGCCAAAAGCTACGTCCTCATCCGTGAATGTGTTCTAGGGTTGTTCATTTCAAAGTATGACAATGGCCGTCTTGGGGGTTAGGGAGAGAGGTGCGGGGGTGTGAGCCGGATGTGTATGGACGTCATTTCCGAGGAGTGCATTAAGATCCACGCCCCCCAAGACGGCAAGAGGGTGGGGGGAGGAGCGGGAAGGCACAGGTGAGGCGTGTGCCAAGTCCAGTATGATCGACTTGATGTTTTGTTTATGCAACGATTCATTTTTATTCTTTAGTTTTTTTCACTTGCAGAGAGCAAACTGGGTTTAATGAACTTCAATCTGAATAATAATTCAATAATTGAACTGAACTAGTTCTGAATCTTCATAAGCAAGCGGACCCAATTATTAATCCTCAATATAATGAAACTGAATTAATCGATCTTAAGAATTACTGAGTTAATTCATCTTAATAATTGAAAGTTTTTGAGCCTACTGTTATTAACAATAATGAGAGGACAAGTGGCACTACATTTATAGGATTTTTTTTGTTCCCCCCCCCCCCCCCCTTTGTCCATGGTTGTCGGTGCCTGACACGTGGAATGCTTGTGTGCTATCGTTCTGCGTGGTTTTGTTTCGCTGTAAACCGCAAAAAAAAACTGGATTACGGATTCAACAGAGGAACTTCCGGAAATTACGCGCCTCTTGCGAAGCACACCAGCAAATGAAAATGTGAAGGTGACCGAATTTCAGCAAAAGATTGTCGAAATGGCAGCCCTGCTTACAGGCGACGAAGCTACCGCGGATATCGCTGACCAATTGACTGTCCGTAAGGCGAACGACTACATAGAGAAGCAGGTGCACGACTTTCTTGTCGGCAATCTGAAGCTTCGGGCGAAGATGCTCACAAATGCGTCTTCTTTTTCTAGCATACTAAATGCTACGGTCACCGTTCAGCCCACAGATGGTGGTTATGACAATGGTAGCAAGGATGACATGCTCGCAATGATTGGTGAGTGGAAAGGTGACGGAAAAACTGAGTATCCAGCATGGTGGCTGTCTTTCGAGACGTTGTCGAGCACTGTAGAAGGTCTAGAGTTGGCCGCATCGCAGTTGGAAGCGATGCAATCATTTCCGTCGGCGTCGTCCTCGTCGTCATGGATCTCATCGTTGTTCGGATGGGCGCTGGAGAGACTTGGAGGAAGGGGGGGCGCAACGGGCTCTGTGGGTCCTGTGACGCAGTCATGGCCGTCCACAACAGCTTTGCAAGTTGGTTTTCAAGAGAGGACGACGGAGTGGGCGACGGCAACAACGACGACGACGACTTTATCGTCGATCACTTCAACGATGCGGAACATCTTCGGCAGACGCTGGGGTCCAGAGATGATCAAGGACGCGGAGGAGCTTTAAGCCACAACAAGCACCTGACGGTGCGAAGGAAAAAAAAAAAAGAAGTCTGATGCCTCCTGACACTATGTCTGACAAGCTGGGTATCTGTTGATGTCAGCTGGGCCAGGTGTGTTACCCCTTGGCTCTTTCCGAGCATGTGTGAGGAAGTCGGAGATGAAGGGCCTCACTCCTCTACTCAACCTTCCATATGCATTTGGATGTTTTCGGGACCAGGTGCGTTCGAACGAGTACATGATTTTGACTGTACCAGGACGATCATGTGGATGTCAGCTGGGCCAGGTATGTCACCCCTTAACTTTTTCCGACCACATGAGGCAGTCGGAGATTAAGGGCCTCACTCCACTACTCATCATTCCACATGCATTTGGATGTTTTTTGGACCAGGTGCGTTCGAACGAGTACATGATTTTGAATGTACCAGGACGATCGTATGCTCCAGATGCATATAGAGTGTTGCATTTAGTGCAGCGATGCACAAAGAAGAAGATGCCGATGATGCTGATGAAGTCTAGTTTTAGCCTTTAGGTGAAAACTCGAGAAGGAGATTGTGTTCAATGTCATAGAAAATGAATTCAGCAAACTATATTGAGACCTATAGGACGCATAGGTTAGGCTGCAGAAATGAATTCGACATACTATATTGAGGCCTATAGGTTAGGGCGAAGAAATGATTGTGTATGATAACGCAGGTCTGTACCACATGTCTATCACCGATTATGTAGTACGTACTTGTGTGTAGACCATCCGAACCTGTATTTGTACAAGTTGTGAAAGTTCATAGAATGATCTCAGAATGATCTTAGAATGATCTTAGGATTATCGTAGAATGGGCGTAGCATGGTCTTCGATAACTTGATGATATTGCAAAGATTCTTAAAATTTAATCAGATGCAATATCAACAATGTGCTGGATTAACATGTACTGTGTCATAAAACAAGGAAAGAACAGAGGATAATGTACAAGTATGTACATTGTAGTGAAGGCCATCCATATCTGCGATGCCGTGCAGACAGGAAATGAATGTGAACCTATTTCATGTACTTAGTCGTTTTTCTTAGTAATATACATAAGTAGTTAGTCGTTTTTCTTAGTACTATACATGAGTAAATGAATGTGCACCT